GCCTGGCCCTGCTTGTTAAAAACAGAACAAGAGCTCCTTGCAGGCAGAAATGCAATTAAACTTTGCATAAACAGTAAAAGTTCCAGTATCCCCATCACAATCCTGCTGGGTCTGTGGTCTTTACAGGCTTGTGATGATTGGAGCCCTTCAGCATGAATTTGAATTTGCAGATATAAAAGTCAAGAAGCTATTGTCTGAAGTTAAAGATTTCTGTTCTGATATTAGAACATCCCAAGATTTGTCTAACGGTAACTATCCCATCTTTATGGATTTTTGTGGCATAAATGTGGGAGGGAGGCCGTTCCAGTTCTGAGAACCTGTGTAATGCTTCTAAAGTCAACCTCTGAGAGCCTTGGCCGAGAGAAATGTTTGAATATAGAACCACTGAGCCCTTTCTAACTATCTCCAGGTTTAGTCTGCAAATTTGAAAAGCAACTGAATCGCCATTAGCAGTATCACACATACTCTCAGAGGTAAACAGAGTATACTGTTCTGTCCCTGAGTGATTATTAAAGGATTAAGGAGATAAATCCTCACTTATATTGTCATGTGTCAGTATGACACATGGGTGAGACACCAGTAGAGCTCTCCTGTTGGGGGCTTCTGTCAGAGCCAGGGAGGTTGGACATTGCTGGGGAAGCCAAGGAGGAAGTCCTGCTCTTCTCATGAGCTGTGCTTGGAAGATGGGTCGGTGCAGTAGGCAGCTGAGCAGCGTCTCCAGCAGCCAAGCTGGATGCTCTGCCATGAGGCCAGCTCCTTCCCTCAGCATTGTTGCAGATGCCTTTCACCACCTGTCACCTCCATATTTTCATTGAGGAACTGGTTTTCTGCTGCCATGTGGAGGGCACAGCCATGTCATCTTAGGGAGCCAGGGCAGCTGGGTGGATGGGTGGTCTGAGGGCCTGTATCGCTTTCTGCTCAGTGACTGTGGAGGTTGGATGGACCGTAGGAGACACGGGAGGGGCCTTGTTGATGGATGGAAGGCTGGGTCCCTCTGAACTCGTCTCTCCTTATCTATCATCAGTTAGTGGACCACGAGCATGTTGCTTTCTACATGTGAAAACCAGATTTCCTCTTTTTCTTCTCTTAATTTAGAAGTTATTTGGGGACTGAAAAATAACAGGCTGGGAGGTAGGATCTCTGACCACTGATCCCTGAGGTTCCCAGTCATATAGTTAGAATTAAAGAAAGCTGCTTTTCAGCGGTGTGAGAACCAGAAGCATGTTATCTCTAGTCATCAAGTGCTCCAGTGTATTCATTCTTATGTTCATTCATTCTTTGAACTTTCACTCCAACATTTGCTGAGTGCAAACGACATGAGCTGGGTGTTGTACAACTTCAGCATCTGAGTAGGACACAGGAGCTGGACTGAGCTGGATGCCTTCAAGAGCAGGAGATGAGGAAGGAGTTAGTTCAAGGAAGCAGGGAATTTCCAACGCAGAGCTGAGCAGGAAGACCAGCTAGTAACCTGAAACAGTCATGGCCAAAACAGCTGTCCAAAACGGGTGGATAGGTGGCAAGAGTAACAGACTAAAATCTGGAGTGGGAGGGGCATGCAGTGAGATGGGACCCCTGGTACTGATGGCTCCAAAACAGCAGGTAACTATCATGGAAGACGGGTGAATTACACTTCCCTCCCACCTGCCCCTTGTGCCTTGATTCCAGATTCTTAAGGAACCCATGTCAGCTGCTGGGAGCAAAAGCCATAGAGGGGTGAATGAGACAGGACCCACCTGTCAGGGAGCAGATGCAAAGGTGTCACAGTAGCTCTGGGGCAGTCACAGTGGAGGTGACACCTGATAGGTGGCTGGAAGGTTGGCCACCATTTTTCTGTTGATTTTGAAAGTGTTGGGAAATTGATCTAAGGAACAGTGGGTCATCTGGCTTAGAAGATACGAACCCGCTCTGATGAGAGTTCTTAATCTTTGAAATGCTCCTGTTGCGTATGGACCTGATTGGCATCATGCCTGGGGCTGATGAGCACTTTAGACCTTCGACCCTGCACCTTCAACGAGACCCTACTTTTTCTGACCTGTCAGCAAGTGTTGCTTGAGCATCTGTTACATACAGAGGTCTTTTCAATACTCACAAAAGATAGGTAACAGAGTTAAATACTTGGAGTCCTGATGTTTATTAAAATAAAATAGGGCACCATGTATCACTGCAATGGAAGAATGTTCTCTGGGTTCCTAACAGAAGCCCGCTGCTGGGCTTATAATCCTACAGTGACAGCATATGTGGGGAGTTTGAAAGGGAGGGGGAGAGGAGCTAACATAAATTTGGAAAGCACTTTGAAGTCATGCACCTGTCACTGTTCCTATTTTTTAATCACCAGATGTATTGGAATCGTTATTTTGCCCAACTTCAAAGTGGAAGTGAGTACGTCTGCTGCCCAACACAGAGACTCAGTGGCTGCCACCAATGATGCAGCTACAGCATAACGTAAACACAAGTAAACCTGAGTAAAATGGAATGCAGTGAACTTACATTTTAGCTGCTTTTGTTTTATGTGGCTAATTTGAAATGTCGTTCATCATACATTGGCATCTATTATATTTTTGTTTGAAATATGGGGCCCCAGGGAGTTAACTGCTCAGCCATGGAGAATTAGATCATTTTGAAACATGAAATAAAGTCTATTTGGCAAAAGTACAGGTAGAGGAGATGAGAAGAATGAATGCAGTGTTTGAAATATTAAAGAGGTCATTTGAATGGTCCTCTTCTCTCCCTCTTGCTCTTCCCCTCAGTGATCTGATAAAGCATCCCAGCCGCACCCTCCTCCCTCTCACAGGTACTCTTTTTCTGGGCTAAGATCTAAGAAATTGCCCTTAAGGGTGTGTGTCAGTTGGCTCAGGCGGCCATAACAAAGCACCTTAAACATGGTTTAAACAAGAGACATTCAGTGGCTCACAATCCTGGAGGCTGTAAGTCTGAGCTCACGGTGTTGGCACTTTCTCCTGATGCCTCTCTTCCGGGCGTGTAGGCAGCCATCTTCTCTGGGCATCTCTGTCCTCATCTCTTCTTATAAGGCACCAGTCAGATTGAATTAGGGCCCATCCTAGTGGCTTTGTTTTGCCTTAATCATCTCTTTAAAGACCTCCATCTCCAAACACAGTCACCTTCTGAGGTCCTGGAGATTAGGACTCCAACATGTGAATTTTGAGGAGACATAGTTCAGTCCATAACAGGCTGGACACTCCTGGAACAGGGAGATGAGAAATGGGGAGCTGGACTCTCTGCTGATGGCCTGTGTTTAGGGGCTGATGCCGATTGTTATCTTCACAGAGATCTCCAGGCTCAGACCCTGGAAGAGTAGTTGTTGGTGCAGAGAGCTGCCCATGTGTTCCTCTCCTGGCATGTCTTTCTGTGTGCCTGGTGACACCAGTGCTTGTATCTGTTTATCTACGTTAATCTCCACTGTAACTCAGAGGTAGGCATTGTCACTGTCACCCCCTTTTACAGGATGCGGAACCGAGGCATAGGAAGGTCAGTAACCGGTCCCAGGTGATCAGCTCTGAGACGCGGACCTGAGGACCAGTTGGGCAACTGCTGGCGGCCCAGCCCTCAGCCCCCGTGCACATTTCCACACACTTACTGGTCAGTGTGCCTAGGACTGAGGGTCTCCCGAGTCCAAGCACCGGCATTGGTTGCGCTGGTTGCTATGTTTGAAGCTTGCTTAGGAATTCAGATTAATATTCCTTGGCCTCAAGTCTCAGTCAGTGTAATGTCCCTTAACATACGCAGGCTCACTGACACAGAAGTCAGTCTTCACTTCTGGCAGATTGGGTTCTTGCCAGTCTGCCTACTTGTTAAAATTACCTGCACCCTCAAATGAGTACCCGTGGGCTTCTTGAGGTCTAGACATTTGCAGAATGGCTAAAATTTGAGTCCCCGATGTGTATGTTCCCAGCAGAGTCGACAGGCCACGCCCCGGCTTCTAGTTTAGCACAGTCTGTAAACAGCGTCCTTTATGTGATCTCTTCGGTGCTCTGTTTTTCCTCATTCTTGTGCCTTATGTTAGTGATTTCATAGTTTAAACTGGCCCTCACGTGTAGTGCCAAGGTGGGCAGTGTACAGCGGATAAAGGCCTTTCAGTACCTGCTCCCCTTTTAACAGCATAAAATGTTGTGCTTCTGTCACGTGAAACTATAGAATCTCGACAAGTTTTTCTCTAGTAAGGATTAACAAATCAAAATTAATAGTATAATACTCATTATTAGAACTTAGTATGTGTAAAATGACATGGACATTCTCATTTGACATGCTCTCCTTAAATTCTTATTTAATAAATACAAAATCATGCTTTCCCCATTTAACCATTTAAGTGCTTAACTTTATCATCAAATAATGTTATGGGGAAGGCCTGCTGTACGTTTCATTGTGCAGAACACGGCACCCCATTCACATTAGATGTAAACAGGTATTTTTTGAATGACTGGACTGTTCAGTATTATTCATGCTAAAACAAATAATAAAATAGCTACTATTTCCTAAATGTTCACCTTCTATCAAGAAATGCTCTAAGTACATATGTTAACTCATTTAATCTACCCAACAAGGAGGTAGTTGCCATTATTCCCATTTGATGGATGAAGAAACCAAGGTATAGAGATCAGGATGCTTCCAAGGTCTCAAGAATTTGCAGAACTGGGATTCAAACCCCCAGGCTCTCTGTATCTAAAGCTTGAGCTCTTAACTGCCTCTACTGTGACTGACAAGAAAATTACTCCTTTATGAACACATAACTTACAGTGTCTTTTTCCTTTGGCCAGTTGAAGACATTATTTTAATTAAAGTGCTACAGTGATTCATTGATGTGGCACCTGTAGTGATGTTATTATTGTAAAGATCATCTTTATGCTGAGATTTTTGTAGTAGTTTTTGATTCAGAATCTTTTTCTCTTCTTAGGATGTGGCATTTTTGAAACCTTATTGCTTACGTAGCCTTCAGAATAACTGTATCATGATAACCAGAAAACTTACAATTTGCTTCTTTACAGAAAATCACTCTGCACCTCCCGATGTAACCACTTACACCTCAGAACACTCAATACAAGTAGAAAGGCCGCAGGGCTCTACGACGTCAAGAACAGCCCCAAAGTATGGCAATGCTGAGCTCATGGAGACTGGCGACGGTATGTCTTCCAGCAAGTTTTTCCTCCTTTGTAAATTCTAAGTTCTGCTGATGTGCTTTCTGTGCCCTGACTGGATGTGTTTCTTCTAGTGACACAGTCGGCTCATTGACTCATCAGGTTCTTTATGAGCCTCCCTAGAAGGTGGCATAGTTACAGGAAGTGCAAACTGTCTCCAAGGGGGCCAAGAGTTATTCCTTGTAGGAAAAATGTCAACGTTGTAGGAATTTTGTCATGAGAATAAAAAGATTTGATAAAATTCTGATGTTTTTGCTAATGAATAATGTTGATTCCACAATTAGAAAATTAGTGCAGGTGTTAAGACTGTGAATGGTTACTTGGAAGGGCAAGATGGAGCTAAACACAACCAAAATAATGGACAGAGATGGGCAGAATGGTGCTTTAGACTTTGGAAGAAAGATGGTCCTTTTTCCTCCATGTTGGAAAAAGTATTGGTGATTTGATAAATACAGCCATTCAGGGTCCCTCTTATTCCTTGAATCTTTCATCTTGGTATGCTCTGACATATTCCTGTTACCCATCCTAAAGTGACAGACTCGAACATGAACTTCATGCTTTATTCTGCTTTCCTTGACCTTCCAGAGTCATGAAAGTTAGACTGGAACCCGATGATGATATAAAGTGTTATTTTCTTGGAAGATGGCCAAAATAGCCTCTGTGTGCCATCCATCCCACCATGCTTGTGTCCGTAACACTGTGACTCGGGGTGATGAGGAGGCCTGGACCCAGCCTCTAACAGGCAGAAACCTCTTCACTGTGGTCAGAGCCCAGCGTCGCTGGGTTCTGAGTTCTCTGTTAGTACATTTGAAGTCACTCCAGTTTCCAGTATGATTGGTTTCCCTGGAATGCTTCTCAGTATGAAGGTTTGCTTTAGTCCTCTACTAAGTTCATTGTTTATTGAATTGGTCATTACTGTTATTCTTTTTATCACCATTTTAGTAACTTTGTTGTTTTTGAAGTTCATCATCTTCACCTGCTCCCCCAGGTAAATTCATCTATTGTCCAGTTCAGTGCTGTGATGGTGTCTCGTACCAGAACCACATGGGGCACTTGTTGGAAAACAGATTCTGGGCCACACCCCAGACCTAACACATCAGAAGCTCTGGGCTGGGTCCTAGGATGATCTGTGTGTGTTCTAAATTAAGCTGGAGCACCAGTGGCCTTGTGAAATGATCTCTGATTCATCCAAACCAGATTAACTGGGACTCTTTAATGGGGAAATGTTGTGTTTAGATATTGAGAATTCTGGGTTGTATATTTTTATGTATTTTCAAGATTGTAAAATATTTAATGTCTCAATTCTGAAAGTGCCCATAGAGTATTTTGAGACTATCTATTAAAATGGTTTTTATTGGATAGAAAAATTTCCTTGAATTCTGTCATACTCATTCCAAAAATTGAGTTCTGTTCTTGTGACATTGTGCCGTGGAGGAAGGACTTTGCCTCGGTCAGTATGGGAAAGACCCTCTCTGGTCATGGTTCTTCTGTCTGAGAACTGTGAAGGTTCCAGGCCTTCATATTTACCAGGTTCAGGTTTCCAAGCACTTTTCAG